CATTACCATTATCAAGCGCCTTAGTGGGTAAGAAGCCTAAAACATCAATATCAGGAAAAACAACGAAGATCTTCCCTCGAAGCTCATCATAACCGTTGATGAAGGCGTTGACAAGGCCATTTTCTAAGTCCCTGTCAGCTATAACAACCCTCTCCTCAGCCTGCAAAGCTCTTTCATGAGCTGCCTTCACCTCTGCCTCTGCAGTAGCCTCTCTGAGCAAGGCCCTCTCGCGGGTCTTAGCAAGCTTAGCCCTCACTAAGCATGACCCTCTCACGGGCCTTCACAAGCTCAGTCTCCTTGAGCGCATCCCTCACACTAGTCGTCGAAAGCTCAGACTCAAGCTCTTTTGCCCTCTTAGGGGACCTCTCAAGCTCAACCTCTAGCTTGGTCCCCCCTCGTGGGATGCCAAAAGCTTAGTCTCAAGTTTGTTCACTCTCTCACGGGTTGCCACAAGGTTAGCATTAGAAGCCCTCGCAGCAGCTTCAAGCTCGATGATCCTTCCTTATGTAGCTAGAAGCTCTCTTTGCATAACTTCATTATTCTGCTTCAGCCGACTGTAATATTAGGTCCTTGAAAGCTAGCAAACGAATGCAGTCGAAACCTGGAAAAGATAAAAAAAAATAGAGAAAATGACAAAACACATAAGAAAGGACTAGAGAAAGGGAGATAACAGACCCTTACCTGAGCCAAAACCTTCCAAAAATGTGTTGATAATCCCCTCGGTGCCCAGGGTAGTAATCTAAGTAACTTTAGGCAAAAACACAACCCTCCCAAGCCTTTCCTTGATGACCAGTGGGTTGCTCAGCATGGGACTAGCCCAAATTGGCATCCTTGTAGAAGTTCCCTCACGAGGAGGAGGCGAACGAGGGGCAAAAGGTGTGACCAACAAAGAAGACTCTAGAGTAGCAGTTGCAACTGAAGAGGTCGTTAGCTGAGGAGGTACCACCAGAGGAGTCACTCGATGAGAACACACCCGAGGCTCCATTGGAGGGGTTGCTTGAGGACAGTTCACCTCAGGCGGCATCGTTGGAGAAGTCACCTGGGGGGCATCGCTCGTCCTCTCAACCGAGGAAGGAGGAGGGCTCCTAACAGAGAGGCGGGACCCAATCACTTTTCTATCTATCACTACAAAGAAAATAAAGTGTCAATAAGATAAAAAGAAAAAGAGACACCAAGTAAAAGAGGAGGACACAAAAGAATCAACTCACCCTTCCTCTACGAAGAGGGGCCACTGGACTTAGGGGAGGAAGCAGAGGCCTTAGCACGAATTGGAGGGGAATCATCGGCTCCTCCATCTCTGAGCATGAGAGCTCCAAAGTCCCTCGTAGGATGGGCCCGCACAGCCTCCAATTTCCATTCTTAGTCCTTGGAGAGCATAGGAGAGCTTGCCGAAACATGGTGAGTACATAGTTTACAAGGAGTGGTAAGAAAAGGGTAAGCATATGAGACATACCAATCTTCTTTGGAGTAACCCATCGTGATGATACCAATGCCCTATCAACCTCCAAAGTCCACTCTCCACCGGCGAATATGAAACACGACTTCCAATTGTGGCAGTTGGAGGGCAGTCCAGTAATCAACTTGCCTCCCCTCGAAATCAAATAGTACCAACCTCGGTTAGGAGCAGGAGTTTCACTCGGGTAATAAGCTACGTGAAACTCGATAGGAGAGGCATCTTCGTGGTGCACCTTCCTCCACAACTCTAGAAAGACCAACAAAACCTTCTAGCCGTTGGGCGCCACCCGCCCATGTGTTAGGGAAAATAATTCAGGATGCCACAAATGGAAGGAGGCATGGGAAACTTGAGCCTAGTCTCAAGCATCTGCTCATAAATGACTATGTCACTAGAGGAGTCATCACTTGCAGACTCACTCGTCTCTGCTCGACAACACAACATAACTGGAGGAATATGGTAGGCGGAAACAATCCGCAAAATGTCAGCATCTGAATTTAAAGTACTAAAAATAGTACTTACTTTAGACCCGTCGTCATCAAGAACTGTTTTGCCTTTGTGATGTTTGGTGTGAAGGCATAAAGAGTCGACTAAGCCATTAAAGGAGAGGCTAGGAGGAATTTGATTTTGAGAAGGTGCACTCGATAGAGCTGGACCATCACCGCTGAAAGTGTTTGGCATACTCTATCCTTGAGCTCCAGAACCAGGCTCGCCAAGAAATTCTTGGGCTGCCCCACTTGCATGGGTAAGAACTGAACTCTTTAAAGGGGCACCCAAAGCTCCTTGGTCGTCTAAACTCCTCAAATCATCACCACAAGTGGTGCTCAAAATCAACCTAGTACCCATAGGGCCGCATGACCCCCTCTGTTCGCCCAAATGAGCCAAACCAGCGCCCATAGGGGCATCTCACCCCCTTTGCTCGCCCAAATGAGCCAAACCAGTGCCCATAGGGGTGCCTGACCCCATTTGCTTGTCCCCATGCTCCATTTCACGGACACCATACAAACCCAGTTCAGCGCCTAAAATGGCGCCCAGAAGGTCGTTCAGTCCAGCGCCTATGGTGCCCAGATCGCCGTCCAAAATAGCACCTTCGACGCCCATATTGTTGCCTGATCCAGCGTTTACTTGCATTCCTTGCTCGCCCGCTGGCCTGGGCTGCACGCCCATTGGCTTGGGCAGCTCGCCTGCTGGCCTGCGTGGGTGCAGCACCCATCAAACCAGCTCTCAACTCCTTACCTCACCCGACCTCTGCTTCTCCAACGTGACCCAGGGACAACTGCTCCTCCCTCACCTCTCCTATTGTAAGGCCTCCTCGCCTAGGCAGCCCCGAAGCATGCTCGCCTAGCCTTAGCGCATATCCCCTTGCCTCCTCTTGGTTGTGCCCAGCAAGCAGCAATTGGTCAGCGGCTTGGTCCACTGAAACATCAACGGATGGAGCCTGGGCCCGTGCCTCCACTACTCCCATGTCATCCAACTCCACCTCATCTCCACCAGGATGTGTAAACCCTTCTCCCTCAATGGACATTGCTTTAGATGATGGCTTCAAGAATCTCACTTGTTAGTTGTCAAAGGATTTCAAGGAGAGCACCCTCCTTCACCTCTCAAGTCTTAATGGAATGGAAAAAGCTTGGGTTCTCAAGGTTTACAAGAATGGGTTTTCAATCTCAAGATGAAGGAAATGGGTGGAATAAAGAAGGAAGATTCTATTGTAGCCTAGGGTTTACAAAGAGGGAAAAGCCCAAATCAAAAATCAAGGGCTCTCTTAAAATCTAAGTAAAAATTAAAAAGACTTGAGGTGTTCAGCGAGGTGAAATAAATCAGAAATGGGGAAGGAGTCTTGGCATCTGATCCAGAAAATCGTTTAAAATGGATCCCGCGACCTGTCCGGGTAGGTCGATCCCCGAGTTGAAGCGCAACATGGACATAGCGGGAGAGGAGCCTTCATGGGTCAGAATTCAAATTCAACTAAATGCCCCCTTTTTCAAGTTTCTTTAGACACGGGACATTAGAGGGGCAAATGATGGGTCAAGCCCAAAAGGCCCAAATTCATGCTGAAAGCCCAGTCATAATCAAAGGCTCAAACTTATCAAGACCTAGCAGGCCAAATGAGGTCTAGGTCCAATAGAACTCATCAGCTTGGCTACGTCATCAAGAGAGCATTCAGGAGCCTCACCCTCACCGCCTTGGAAATAGTCAACCCTTACCTCATCTTTGACCGAGTCTCGTGGATAGTACCTCAACCACCTCGCCCGTTGAGAAGAAGTCGTGAGCTCCACCAGAATAGTTATTCAGTTGCTAACACCTCGCCCAAATTTGTTAAGAGGGCGACTATAAATTGTAAGTCCCATCAACACTTAGGGGACAAGAACATCACACTCTTACCTGAGCACAACTCTCTTCTCTCTCTCAAAGCTTGTACTCTCTACTCGCCCTGCACACTTGAATTAATAAAGTATCCGACGACCCTAGCCTTTTAGAAGTGGACGTAGATCACATTGACCGAACTATTATAACTCTCGTCTTCTCTCTCTACTTTAATTATCGCATTTATTACTCACACTTGACAAGTAGTATGCAAAGTTAATTTGTGCATCATCAACTGCTATATACCCTAATACCAATAACTAAGTAAGCCAATTTGTTGGTGAATATACCAAACTTTCCAAGAAATCAAAAGAATGAAAAAAGCGACACCTTCTAAAGAAAGACAGAGTCGCAGATACCAAAGTTTAAATAAATGGGTGAAATGAGTGAGTTGTTAAAGTTATGTTTGATGGTTTTAAAATTACACTAACTTCACCTATACTTTATGAAAATTTCAGTGGGAGCAAGATTCCAATTTTTTTGAAATTTTCAAAAATTCACCTAAATCCCAAAAATTTTTAAAATTCCAATAGGGGTAGTTGTCCCCACTGCCCCTATACTAAATCCACCTCAGACCACTTGACTTGGTATAGTCTTAAGAGATCGAAGGCTTGTCAATTAGGCTAGACCAAATTGATTCGATAATTTATTGTCTTTAAACTTCAAAAAAAGAGATTGTTGTAGTAGATATGTGTTAGTGTGTGGCCAATATATTTTACTATATTTATAATTAAACTTTAAAATAGAAACCATAAATTAAAAAAATCATATTTAAGGCAATTTCTCATAATATTTCAACTCCAAATAAATTATTGATAACTATAAAATCAAAACTATTGTCAACAATAATTCAAACCCACGTGTGCACACACACACACACACACACACACACACACACACATATATATATATATATATAATAACGAAAACACATTAAAACATCATATCATAAAATCAAATTTATAAATAGTGAATTATCACTCCTACCATATTAAATGACTATTAAGAAATATTAATTAAAACTTAGTAAAAGTATATTAAAAGAGAGAACAATGTGATGCCTAATTTTTTTTAAATACCAGACTAAAAAATAACCCCTAATTTTAAATCTTAATTTAAATTAATTATAACCATTAATCATTAAACAATAAATAAAACGAAGCATCACCTCTGAGAGAGAGACTAAACTTCATGAAGAAAGAGATTAATATCAATTTTATTTAGGGAATGTCAATAAAGCCCATTCCATCATGTTGCACAGAATTATAGAAACTACCCCTCAAGGAGAAGGAAACTTTAAAAAACACCACCAAAAGTGACAACATGATACAGCAGAACAAACACGGGAGACAAACTTTTAGCTACAATCTAATTGCCCCTCTTTGTCCCAGCATTGGCATCCTCACTAGTGTCAGTCATGCCAAAGGTGTGCTTCACAGCATCAGCAGCGCCTTGAGCCAAGTCCTTCATTTGCTCCCCAGTCTTCTGCAGAATCCCCCCCGTCTTCTCTTTGCCGGCCTGCTCTGCCTCGCGGCCTGACTCGGCCATCTCGGAAGCCTTTTCCTTTGCGGCCTTGGCCGCTGCCGAGGCCTTGTCCTTGGTCGACTGGGTGGTCTCCGACGCCTTTTCTTTGGTAGCGCCGGTCTTCTCCGAGAGAGTGTTGCCAGTCTGGTCTTTGGCCTCGTGTGTACGGCCTTTGGCTGATTCAGCCATCTCAGAAGCCTTGTCTTTGGCTGCTTGTGTCTTTTCCTTCATGGTGTCCGCCACTTGGTCAGTCTTCTCCTGTACAAAAGATAGTCACAGTGACACTATAAACCTCAGATGCATACAAGTAGAGATCAAAAAGCTTAATATTATGGACACGGCCTTCTAGTATCCTAGGGCAGGGAAGGATGATATTGATCGCCCCTTTCGATTCCTAGATCCATCATTACATGGAGGTACGTACTACATGGGTCGAACTCCATACAGCCTACCGTAAAGTAAAGAGGAGAAGCACTGAAGCAGGAAAAAGGAAAGGACAACTTGGAACATCAACTAACTAAAGGTGGGTTCGACTTCGACTTAAACACCTTTTCTATGATATATTTGGTCAGGCTGATTCTGCAAATGAGAGAGAGAGAGAGAATACAAAGACCAAGACCACATCTAGAAATCATAAATTCATCACTAATGGAGCTTTTTCGGAGAAAAGAAAGACAAAGTGTGGATATATTAACTAGCTAGCTCCACTCCCTTAATCTTTACTCACCTGCTATCACATCCCTCCAAGATTGACACCCTTTCACCCATTATCTTACATGTAACCACCAACTCCAAGACCATAAGGTAACAAGACTGGTTTTAAAGATACACTCTCACCCTCACTCTCTCACCTGCAAATGGTTGTGAATTCAAATCTTATTGCAATAATAATAATAATACTAGAAACATATATGTATGAGCCAAAAAAGGATGAATAAAATGTCACCTGAGCTTGGCCCTTGGCTTCCCCAGCTTTGCAGCTCTGATCATGAGACGCCATTTCACAGCAAAAACTTCACCTCACCTTCACAAACTGATGACCTGTAAATATTGAAACGCTTGCTTGAGGAATTTCAGAGACAAGTTTACTTGGGAATGAGAGAGAGAGGGTCTCTTCCATGCATATATAAAGGACACACCAGTGAGCTAGTGAGTTGCCAAGTGTCTTGATGTCTGACACGTGTAAGGAGTACGTGCCATTTTGCGGTTATCTTATGGGTGAGACCTTTGCTCTCTTTGTTGGAATTATACATTTTCTGAGGATCAGATCGATGACGCTGCCTTTCAAGATGCTGCCGCCTGGCACTTAAAGCCAATCAGGATGGTATTTTGGAATTTTTGATACAAACATGTCCAGAATTCAAACTTATAAATTAAGATTTTTACTGATTCAGACATAACTAATTAGTAAAAATATTAATTTATATATGGATTAGAGGTAGAGAATCGTTTTCTACTTGATACGGTCATGTGGCACTTGGACAGCCAATATTTTATCTTCAAAACTCCAGAGAGTATGCTTTATCAGCGCCCTGCTCGATTCATGCCGGCCGGGCCAAACTTCAATTCCTGTCACTAATTATTAGTGTTTTTTTGGTGTTTTTTTTTTTTGGGGAGGATTTCGCATAAGTAATCACCATCTCGTGCCGATGAAGATAACACTAAAGAAGTTTTGAGTAACATGTAAGACAAGTGAAAGTTAGGTGAACTAATCATTAGAGATGGTCAAATGGACTTTAATGTTTAAGTCAAATAATAAGTCAAACAAGAGTATAAAGTAAATAGACTAAGATTAAATGTCTTTACCTAGTATTCGAAGGTCTTTATTTATAGTAGTAAGAAATTGTATCCCAAAAGAATTCGAACTTTAGGTTGTAATAGAATCAACCTCATCAACAGCTCCTTAGATTCCTCTCAACCAGCACTTAGGTGCCTTGGAGACTACCAGGCGACACTTGGGTGCGTTGTCGGTCGACACTTGGCCTAGTATAGGCTCCTACAATTGCCCTTCATGTCTCTTTTAATTGATCAAATTAATCGAAACATATCTTTGAAGAATTTGGACTTCGTGGGCCTTTATTGCCTAAAGAATTAGGGTTTTAATTTTCTTCTCTTTTCTCCTCCTCACTTACTTTCTTTTGTGTTCCTTCACTTCATTCATAGGTTGGAGCTTGGCTAATAGACATAAATTATTGCTTGTACAGTGGACGGACTTATTTTGCACATGACCTAGTAGAGCGATAAAAATTACTTGAGAGTCAAGCTGAGTCTGATAAGGTCATGGTAGACCTGCTGGAGAGATTATTTAAGGATTTCAGAGTGGAGAAGGCCTTTTTGAAGAAGAAAGTTACTAAGGTAGAGATTCGAATAGGTGAGCTTCAAGAGGAACTTGCTAAGGCTAAGAAATATGTAAAACATAAGAACATGTCATTAGGAGATGGTTAGGGAAAAGCTCCCAAGATAGATGAATTAATGGGTCATATCCAATTTGGGAGGACGTTTTGTTGCCTAAGAGTGACTTCCTAATTCTTGAGACCATGGAGAAATTCCTTGGTGGTGGGGGTTCAAGTCTGCTAACACCTGTGCCCCCTGTTTTGACTGAAGGAGGAAGGTCTTCACAAGTTAAGGCATCTGATGCTTGGAGAGGTGGCAAGTCCTTTAAGAAATGCTAAGTAGCTTATTACGAAATCATAAAAGTTGTTGGTTGTCTGTCGAAGACTAAGTAACTTAGAGGTTGCATGGAGACAAAGTAGCCTAAAGGGTAATTGTAGATGTTAAATGTAGGCGAAGTAGCTTTGAGGTGCAACCATGAAGGTTGGCCGTAGGCAAGATAGTCTTGAGGTGCAACTATGGAGGTTGCAATAATCACAAGTAGAGGAACACTCAGAGTTGTGAAAAATAAAATTCTCTTTACTAATTAACGAAAATGAGAAACAAATGTCTTTGAAAACTCATTGAAATAATAAGACGTTAACTAAATTAAAAGTAAAACTTAGTCGTCTTGTTGGTCATCTAATTAGATTTGTTGCTCTGCCTGTTTCTTGTCAACCTATGCTTGAGGGCCCCACAATTCTCCATCCAACGGCCTTTGTCTTTGTGGTAAGAATAATGGAGATTTTGGTCTCACTTTGATGGACCTCCTGTCATCTTGGGTAGTCACCTAAAATACTTCTTATCTTTGATTTGGTTCAGGACTTGATAAATAGGCTCTTTTGAACATAGTATTGACTCTTTGTTAGGAGTCTCTCGTTCCCTTAGATGATCGATCTCTCCTTGAAGGATTGAAAGTGTTGTCTTCCTCCCTTTGGTTATTCTTCGGAGAAGACAATAGTCAGTCGACTGGTCCCTTGTCATTTTCAACATTTACATACCTCTTGATATGCTCCTGTAAGTGTGAAAGTTTATGTGGTGGCCACATAGTAGGATGCTTCCTCAATTATTTTCCCTAGGGAGGCCCAAGCGAAAAGAGACAACTATAGTCTTCTCATTGCAATCCTCTATGTCAATATAGGTATCCAGGTACCCTACGCCATACTCACAAAGAGTCTCACCATGTTTCTAGTGTAATGCTAAGAATGTGTCAATCGTTGTCTGCCCCATACTATTGACTATGAATTGAGAGACGAACTTCTCGGTGAGTTGTTCCAAAGAGAAGACGGATTTCACGGGCATCCCATGGAACCACTTAAGGGTCGATCTCCCTAAGCTGTAAGGAAACATCTTGCACATTAACTCCTCATTGCTCGTCCAAAGGGCCATCTTATTAGTAAAAGCCCCAATGTGGACCATGGGATTAGACTTGTCATCGTACAATTTGAAGGACGGAGGATAGAACTTACGTTGGCCAAGGTCGTGGAGAGGATGATCAATATCTTTGTTGGCTAGCTCAAAGCGCGTATGCTTTTGTCTTCCATAATCTTCGTACCAATCATCTCATCTAGAGTGATGAGTTGAACTCCCATATCTTTCTCTACATTCCCTAGGGTCGTTGTGTTACTCGCTCCCCTTTCCCCATGACGACGGGGATGCTCTTTGGGTGAAGGGCCCTTGGCAGGCCTGTCAACGGATCAGATATGGACCGGATTATCCTATATCCGAATCCGAATCCAATTAAGTTTTTGTCGATCCGATCCAATTTGATAATTCGACGAATTTGAAAAATTTAATCCATGTCCAAATTCGTTATTTTTCGGATACCCAATCTAAAAATTCGATATGATCCGATTATCACAAAAAACACATATACACCAAAAAATTAACAATAAAAATTTGGATAATGAACTAAAAAAAGGAGGAAAATTGAAAATTGAAATAAAAGCAAGAGCAAAACTAAACAAGAGAGGGAAACAAAATAAAATAAAAAATGGGTCATACATTGTGATATTCACTTCATTTTTACTTGTTTTTCAGTATAAGTATAATATATGTGTGATATTTATTTATATAATACATTTTTTTATTTGAATCAAATTAATAATAGATTGGATTATTATAAAACCATATCTGAATTCGTCTAGACAACTCTAATCGGATCGAATTCATGGATTGAAAATTTGATCTATATCCGTTTAAACGGATTCGAATTTGGATTTGGGTTGAAATCCGGTCCATTGACAAGCCTAGTCTTTGGAAAAACATTGAGAGGTAATGCGTCTTAGTGATTAGGAGTGTCAATTGTTTAGTGTTTGTGTGACTCATATGTTGTGTTATTCGTGTTGTGTCATTGTTATTTGTGTTGTGTTCGTGTCAAGATCCACAAAAAAAATTATATTTAGTGTATTATGAGTATTAAACATTAGTCTAGACTACTTATTATGCATATTTAATAATCGTGTCAATTTTATAATCGGTCGTGTCAGGTTTGTGTCAACGGGTAAGAATTGACACCCCTATTGGTGAGTACCTGACTTAACGCCAATCACGGGTCGAATAGCTCCTTGTCGGTGACCTATTCCCTCCGCGAGTGTATTTAGCCACATACGAGTGATTGTTGTGGTGGTCACTTTGACGAGGTGGGTGTCTAACCAAGCTAGCAAGTTTATTGCCCTTTTGGTGAAGGAGCCCTTGATTGAGGCCTTCTTACTCCTCCGTCCTCTTTCTTATCGCCTCTTGATAAGCCACCTCGGTAACTAGTTTGTCTTCTGCATCAAGAGATGGTAGGTTGTGATAGAAAGAGTGTTGCTCTTTTGGGCGCTTCTGCCCATCCCGAAGTAACGTTTCGTCTAGCAATTGGAGGTCGTAGTTTAGGGGAATTTCAAGGGTTGGTTCTCTTGCCAGACATGGTTTAAACTTAGTCGTTTTCTCACAGACGTCGCTAATTGTGCGAGGATAATTCCACACAAGGAATCACCACCTCGTGTAGACGTAGATGACGGTAAAGAAGCCTTGAGCAACTGGAGGTGGCCAAAAGAACTTTGATGCTCAGATGGCAAGTCAAAGAAGAGTACGGAGTGAATAGGCTAAGATTGAACGCTCTTACCTGGTACCCAAAGGTCTTTATTTATAATAATAGGAAGTTGTGTCCGAAACTCGAACTTTAGGTTTTGATGGGATGAACCTCATCACCAATTTCTCAAAGTTCAAAGTAGTATTAGGCCAGGACTCTTACTCCTAAGTTGCACCGTATTCAAGTAGGACTCGTCTAATAGAAATGGACAAGCAAAGAATGAAAGCGAAGTACCTCCCGGGACTGTGGTTAGATGTCTGTCGGCTGGCACTTGGGTGCCTTGGAGGCTGCCAGTCAGGCACTTGTGCCTAGTATAGGCCCTCACAATTAGTAATGAGTTGTGTTATCTACTTATATGTGAATCAAATTTTAGTTAACATACACGAGTCGTAAATTAAGGTATATTTCTCTCTTAATCACATGCACCGACATATATAAATTGAAAAATTTTCTGGAGTCTCATGTTAGCAAAATCAAGTAAAAAAATCATTTCATTCTATAAGATTTCAACAAGAAAAAAAAACATTGAATTAAAATAAAAAAGAGATTTTCTACAAATAATATAATTGATAATTAGGGACCAATCCTCTTTAGACAACGTATAAAGAGATAAGTCTATCGCTTAAATATATTTGAGAGTAAGTTCTATTATTATCTTTTCAGTGAGCAGTTAGTCCGAATTTTTTTAATAAGTCCAAAATGCCCTTAATATAACTTTGAAAGTAGTTTTCAACGTTTAAATTAATTTCTTAACAGGAAACCCTTACTCATTGATTCACACTTAATGGAGATATGCCAATAAAATTTTAATAAAACAATCGTATCAATCTTTTTTATATATAAAAAATATGTTTACGATCTCGAACCTGAGATGGCACAAGTTAACGATATACCCAATCCTTCCACCCCAATCCCAGGGGACATAAAAACAAAATTCTATCACCGATGAAACCAGTTAAATTTGTCATAGATCAGTAATGAAGATGATGATGTTGCAACCTTCAAAGTAACAGAAATTAGTTAGACATAATGCAGTTCTCAAATCCTTTCCTTCATTATTTTTTTTATCACATCTTGCCAGCATTCTCTACATTCCAGTATCTGATTCAAATCATTCCCCAAGCAGTTGAGAAATTTTCTCCTCTTTTTGACTAAGCAACCCCTTTGAAACATTCCATTCCAAAGCTCTCTTTTAGGGCATTAACCATAATAAGCCATGTGTATGAGAATGCATGTATTCAGGCACGCATAAGAACTAAGAGTGAACATTAAGAAATCTATAAATTTCACTAGTGATCTCAAGGTTTTCATTTGATTTCTGATCCGAAACATAAAAGAAACAGAGCAAGAAAATGGCAGGCCAAGGTCAGGAAAGATACCCGGCCGGACAATTTCCCGGTCAAGCTCAGGTTGTGCTTCTTGTGGCCTGTTCATATATATATATATATATATATAATATTTCTCTCTATTGTGATTAAGTGTCATCAGTTAGAGTTACAGAAACAAGTACCCACACCATATGTGTGGATATATCTTACCCTCTTCAGATGAATCTCATATACTAGATTCTCCTTATATGTTTTTGTTTGTGTGTGTGTTATGATGATGTTCATGGAGGAGTATAAGCACAATGGAGATTTTTTTTATTTTATTTTTTTGGGGGTGGGGGTGGGGGTGGGGGAGGGGGAGGGGGAGAGGATTTGAACCTTTGATCTTAAGAAGGCCCTTCACAAGGTAAGGAGTATCATTAAATCAAAGATGAATGATATATTGGTATATTTTGAGAAAGGTTGAGACTTGAGCATCAGTGCCAGTGTGTATATCTCTATTCGTACTTGTCTGTATCCAACTATATCATGAGATTTAGTTTTGTGTAATGTTTCTCTCCCCTATTGCAGATTAGGAAGGATGACTGTGTAACCCAACCATCCAACGTCCATAACTATGGGCAAGATCCAAACTTCCTTCAACAGGTAATCCTATCTTCTTTAGTTTACATCATATTCAATACTGTACTGAAAAATTTGAAAGAAGTTGTGGCATTATGAGGTCACAAAAGTTGGGATCGATTTCAAAGTGTTTGGGATCCATACTAATCAATAAAGTCATAACTGAAGATGTTTGAATCATAATTTAACCCGATTAAGTTACAATCCTCAGTAAGGTACAGAAAAGTAGACAGTTTACCAAAACTTTATTATTCTTCCCACCCAAACAATGATGGAAAGGTAACAAGACACCAAACGCTATGTAACACTATTTTGTTAATGCATTTTGAATGGATTATTGCAGACTGGGGAACAAGTGAAGACCATGACACATGGAGCAGCAAACATTGTGCAGGGGGCTGCACAAGGTGCTGCTAGCGTAGCACAAGGAGCAGCAGTAGGAGCTGCAAACATAGCACAGGGAGCCGCTGAAGCGGTGAAGAAAACTCTGGGGATGAACACTGAAAACAGCCCCAACCACACCGGCAACCCAAACCATCCTGGCAGCACCAACACCAACACCAACACCAACACCAATTATTCAGGCAACACTGACTATCTGAGCAACACCGGTTGCCCCGGAAATGCCGATTACCCAAGCAACACCGGTCACCCCCGCAACACCAGCCACCCAAGCAACCCAACTACCAGAATTTGAAGTGTTATCTTGGTGGCATCTCTTTGGATTGGTTTTTCTTGTCTTGTGTCACTGTGAAAGGTTGCACTGTGGTCATGTCTTATTTATTTGAGAAAGTATTGAGTATTTTTTTCATGTTATTTAATTGTTTGAATTAAATGAGCGAAATTTTTTTCTCCATATTCTTTAATGCATGAGGATTTGCCTTCTGGCTGGGTCATGGGGCTCTCTCGTTCTGTAAACCGCACACACGCACAGATAAGTATAGGGGAGTGGCACAAGCTCATTGTCCTCCAAAAGCGATTACATTTCTTCATGTTCTGATCCTTTGTATATGCAGCAATGATATGGAATAGGCTGGACTCATGCTTTTGGGACGAGACTGCATGTATTCGCAAAGATTTAGTTGGTTCTCTAAGAGATTCCGTTATCTTTTACGGGTGCAATTAGGACATGTTGACATCAACTCAAGTTCAATCCAAAATATGAAACCTTCAATCCAAGTCTAACCTAACCCGATCTCAACTTGAACAATTCCAGCATGAGCTTAATCCATGATTAAATTTTTTAACTTTGATTGAGTTCGAGTTACAAAATTCGGGTTGAAATTGAGTTTTTCATTAATCAAAATTAAATTGAACCAAAACTAAAGTTCAATTCTATGTTCACCACCAAAATTGAACATAAATTCTCTCTAGCATTAATCAAAGCTAATTGAAAATTAGAAAAATAAATTTTACATCTACAATTGCCTTAAAATAATTGGGATTAAAGCTTTGTTTGGTTGAGTTAAATAGAACATCAATAACAAATGAATACAAGTGAGATTCAGATGCCTTAACACTTTGTGAGTGTGTGATTTTTTATATTTTTTTGGAATTTCGGGTTGAACCAATCAACCCGAATCCCAAATTGAATATTGCCCTAATTTGATTCATGTTAAAAAAATTTTATCCAAACCTAAGTTGAGTATTAAAGACCTCAATCTAAGTACTGAAAAATTCAAATTGAAGTCAGGTTGGCACCTCCTTTCATTTAACAAAAAATAAATAAATTGAACACATTAAATTGCGTGGTTCGCTAGGAATAGGTCAAACTTCAAGCAATTTAGTTAAGGATATAGTTCGATGGTGACCAAATAATCTAAACTATCAAGATGGTACATTCTTAATCCAATTGCTAACCATTTTCAAACAATCTTAAGTATCATGATGATTCATTTTTATCTAAACCATTTTTTTCATTCAATGTGGTTGTTAAACTTTTTATCAATTTGTATTAAAATATTGACATTTTTTTAATTTAAACTCCAAAATAATAATGTTAGTTTCAATGATACTTTTTTCTTTTTCTTTTTTGTTTCAACGATCAAGAGAGTGTTCGAGCCAACTTATGCACGCATGGACTAATTTTCTCCTCAATCTTGTCAAAAACAGATCATCCACGCCGAAACTAAGATATTCATGATGGATAAATCTCTCATAATCTGATCCTAAAGAATTATCAAAATTTGAACTTAAGACGTCTGAGTTTACAACTCGTCTCTGTTACCGCTAGAAGTACGTTAGAGTTTGATACTTTCTTTTCACATATGTTGCACTCTCCATCAATTTGAACGATAAATGCCAGCAGTGTTACTTCAATCCAAAACATCAACAGGGTTGTGTCTGATTCTTTAAAGTATAGGGCGGCAATATGTTTCAAGACCAAACCGTAAGGGATAAAAAGAGCCTATATCTATAATACCCTTTTATGCCCTGACTTTCATGTGGGGAAATGTCTCCATTTGTGAAGTTGTTTATTCAAGTAAAGCTGCTTTCAGGTTACCATTATAAAGAGGTAGTTTGCTCCTAGCCGTACTCGACTACCAAGAGATGCATTTGAAATCTAAAAATTGATAATTAATCGGTTTACAACAATGCCCTTGATCACCATTTACAACCAGCAAAAAACACCTCAGTTCTGATATCATACAAGTTCAAAATGGCACCAACATTTGTGAAGTGTAAGAGGCAAAAAGAGAACAAGGTGAGAGCAACAAAAGGACACTTGCCTACAGATACTTTGGAAAAATTTAGTATAATATTATATTTGAGACCCTTTTCTACTACGGTTACCATGACCAGGAACATTTCTCAAACTGATGGACTCAGGAATATGCAAGTCCCTACGACCAAATGAAGCAGTACCTCGGAGTCCACGAGATGGAGTACTACAAGGTGAACCCGAACTTGTTTTGCTTCCTCTAAAGGCCTCGGTCTCCAAAATTTTGGCTTTATCAGTCAGCATCTTTAACTGTTCATCAAAAGCAGGTCAATCATCAAACATGTTTCATGACTCTATTTTTTTATTTTCTCCATTAATTTTAAACAGCATAACTTCCATTAAGATAAATGGTATCATGATTTAGTTGTAACTACTCTGTTTTTTTCTTTTTTACTGGACATGGGAAATACTGCAAAATCTAACTGGATGTCATAATAAGACTTCCTCATTTTCTCCCAATTGCAAAACCATGCTACTAAGCCAATAAGCTATGCTGAATATTTCTATACCTGGGTTTCATTTTCTTTCAAACGATCCTGGAGAGCATTTATGGCAGGACTTAAGCTGCAATTCAGACAAAGGCTGTGAGTACAAACAAAAAACAAAGCACAATATACTAAAAGATTAGTGAGCAACTGCTTCTAACCAGTACTCCATTAATTTGCACATGGAAGCCTGATATGTTGATGTGTGATGAATGAAATTAAGCGGGTGCACTTTCCCATCCCTACATAACATGACACGAATTGTAAATACAAATAATAAACAACAATAAGCAGAATCAAATGGTAAGACACATAGATATTGTTATGTACATTACTATCACATCCTTATATCACCTCATATTCTGTGAGATCATTTGGTTATATGCAGTCCGCTCCTCCTCATGTAATACGCGTTGCAAATCTGTAAATGAAGTCAATGGAGAATTGAGACTGAGAAGAGACAAGGTTGGCAAAACATAAAGAGGAATTTCCTTCCTGAAAAATTCTGCACCACTGCCAGCAAACAAAAGTCACTATAAGATTCAGGCTGAGGACTGCTTGTTGCGGACTTTAAACACAGTAAGACATCAACAGAGCCAAAGATAAACGACAAACAATATGGTCAAAAGTTGGATCATGCTTAAAATAATAGGTTATAAAGAAAAAAATTAACAGTTTTGAAGAAAATTAAAATACCAAGTGAGTAAGTACATAAGCATGTATACCTCACCTCCAAATTTGAACGAAACATTGCTTCTTGCATACTTTCTGACATATCCATGGGGTCGATGTCAATGCTGGAGTTTCCTCCTGTTTTTTCTCTCCCTAGATAGTCGGTAGCAGCATTAGCAAAGAAACCCCCCAAGTTTGATGATCTTCCCACTCCCTACTCAAGTATATGCAATTATAATATATCAACATACCAATCCAAAATGGGGCACTTCAAGTGAGAACAATTAACATTCTAAGCAAAAAAGGAGAGGTAAAATAGTTCCCCAAAGCTAGCAATTGTCAACATCTAAAAACTAAAAACGACCCATCATCTGAAGGCCCGCTTAACAAACCAACTATTGATGAAACCTTTTTAACTATTCATTAAACCAGCTTCTTAGGCTGGTTTTGACTACGAAATCTAAAATCTATTTGAAATTTGTCTATTCCCACAATCTGCATGTGAGCCATAGCTAATGAAAGCCATGGCCCTGATTTTAATGCCAGCCTCGTATAATCTCAACAAGTGCCTGAACTCCCGGGAGATATCTTACTGATAGGAGCATCACATTTCAAATAACTTTGCATCATGTGTAAATGTATGCCAGATGGTATCTGCGGCACCAGAGACCAATGTTAATTAGTATTCTTCAGTTTCCATGCACTTAGGCACATATTCTTAATTAAACCTTGTGCAATGACACTAATTTGAAAAATTAGGGTGATTGCAAAACGGCGGAAAAACCCATTTAAATTTTGGAAGGACTAATGTACTTAATGTTAAATAAAAAAACATTCGCACAGGAATGTGGATGTAATAGTAACTTTCCAAGTAGAGAATTATTTCTATACATGTTGCTTTCATGTGTTTTTTTTTTTGGGTGTTTTTTTTTTGCCGCGGGGGGGGAGAAGGCAAAGAATATCATACAAAACAATCAAAAGCTCTGTATGCATCAGTTTCTCATTTACCATTTAAAAGGACCCAAATTTATCCAATGCAACAAGGGGTGGAGCAACACACTAAGCAGAGAAGGGGAAGCTTCAACATATAGTTATGGGGAAAGACATTGAGATCCAAAGGCAGAAATATAAGGTGCTCGACTCAATGTGCAAGCCCTGAGACATCATAATGGGAGTCTTGTGATGAGAAGTTGCATGGAGGTTTAAAAGGCTAGAGCAAGCATATATTAATGGCAAGAGACAGTCAGACACACATAATAGGACTCATTGGGAAGAACTCCCTTTCCTTCCAACTTCAATACAAACAAAAGCAACATGCTCAAGAAAATAGAAAGGTATATAATCCTCCAACCTTTAAATAAACTCATGCTATGCAAAGTTTCAGATATTTTCAGAGCTCCATTAACAAGAGTAAGCAATATGCCCATATTCAAGGTTGAGATCAGGAAATATACCTTAGAAGCACCAGCAGCTGCTCCAGAATCACCAGTGTCCTGCTCAAAGCTTTCAGCTCTTGCAGAACCAGATATTGTCAATGAGTTTTCAGAGGAGCTTATAGATGATTCAATATCTATAACAGAACTACTATCCACAGGGGATTGAGAAGCAGGTCTCAACATGTGTTTCTGCTTCCCATCCAAGGATTGGAATGCTATAACTTGGACTCTTCCAACCTAAAATAGTACCCATAATCTGTGAATTTAGGCGCACTTTCAAACATTTCTGCAAATCTAAACTAGTTCCAATAATTTGAATTGGAAACAAATTATGCAAACCTTGTGTGCATCTTCACTAAAACAAGAAAATATCAACCCAATGAACCCAGGATCTAGAAGTTGATACATTGCTTGAGTCCGCACATCTACAAAAGGAAAAGACCGTAGCATATACCTTAGCCTCATATTACCAAGGGAAACACTAACAAGATTCTAGGTGGTAGGAAGCACTGATGGCTTCATCAATGGCAGTTCCTGTGATATTACCAATTTGTAAGGGGTATAATAACTTTGCAGAACAAATTGAGTTACAAGTCACCTTAATTATTTTCCTGAGGAAGCATTTTGGGCGCCCAAGTGGAACGTCTACGTACACAGATTTCCATTTTTTATTTTTTTTTGGTTTGGGGGGAGCGGGTGGGTTTTTTTTTTTTTTGGGGGGGGGGGGGGCCTCCCGCCAAAGATGATACATGAGGTTATTGTTTTATCAAAGTATAATGAACCACTGATTATAAAAGTATAATTGAAGATCATATCAGCATTGGTAGCACTTTAACACTTACCCACGTGGGAAGGAAGAACTGTGATATGAGGATGTGAATGATACCAGCCAATTACCCTTGTTGTCCTGCCTGTTGCCACGGTCATTCTGTGCTATATGGTTAAGTGGACAAATCACAAGCAACTCTCACTTTTACCAATAGTAGGCCAATTTAAATGCACATCACATTACACGATCAACGTCAACTACAAATCCGAGGATTTGGTAGTCTAATCAACTCCTCAGCACTGTAGTTTGGATTGAGCACACCAACTACCACATTTATAATTCAATAACATCCATCTGATTTATGGTGCAGGCTGAGACTCATCTCGCCAGAAAATAATGTTCAAGCAACAACTGGAGACTACTGTCGAAAATGTGAAGTTTTTTCTTTTTCCATCTTTTCCATTAAAATAATTGGGCAGGCTAAAATTTCCTAGGCAAGACGCTTGGCTTGCATAAGGATGTAAGAAAGTAGTTCGAAATATGCACTATCTTCCATTTCCATTTTCAGCAAGGCATGTAAAATCTAAGTTTCTTTGGTGAATGACACTTATCCTCTCATTAATTCAGCAAAAACATGCATTTGACGAAAGTGGAAAAAAGGATTTTCAGCATGCATTGCATAAGCACTATAAAAAGGATATCTCAGCCAGAACTGATGCAGCGGTCAACTGTTCAGGGTTAGTCTCTACTCGGTCCTTCCTCCGATCAGAACGTGGTTGAGGCAATGCTCCCCAAATCAGTGCAGTCACACTTCCATTTTTTGAATGCTGAAACCAAAAATAAAAGAGCCAAATTAAAAATGGTGTTGAGATATAAAAATAAACCAAAGTCAGATCACCAACATCCTACATAGACAAAATTACAACATTTTCGCTCAATTGAAAAACTACTTACTACTGAACAGTAATCAGTGACTAAGAGACTTGAATTCAAGACGATCATTTTTTACAAACTAGAACACCATATATAAGAATAGTCAAGCTAGCATTAGAAACATGACAAGATAGATGGAGTAATATAATTAACTAATGGGTCTTTGATCCAATGGTACTCTTTACCTTGTGAAAGTTTTACCTTCTTGAGGTTCAAGTCCCCTTCCTCTCCCAAAAAATAAAAAAGTTTATTGAGGTCAAGAGTTCAAGTCCACCTCCCCCTCCCCTCCCCACCCCACCCCATATATATATATATATATATATATATATATATATATATATCTAAAAAGTTTTAATTACCAATGGGTCTTTGGTCTAATGGTATTCTTTACCTAAAGAAACATTTGCCTTCTTCAGATCAAGGATTCAAATCCCCATTCCCCCTTCCCTTTCCCAAAATATATATATATATGTCCTGATCAATGGTCAATTGTTTCTCACCTTCAGTGCTCAGTAGAAAAAACTAACGAACATGAACAATCAAAACCAAAGTACTCATAATCAAGTTCAGCAAATAAGAGAATAAAAAAAAGTAGCAGTACAATTTTCTATTTGCTATACATGGGAAAAAATTAAACTTGGTCTGTGCAATCTGTTTCAACCTGATCACTATTAAAGTTCCCGCCCTACCTAACCTAAGAAGCTCACACTATTGAAAAGCCACATTCCCATTTGTACAAAATAAAAATCAACAAAGATCCACTAGGAAAAGATTTGAGGGAAACCAAATAGAACAACATAAGTCCAAATATTTCAACTTGATTCCCATGCAGGTTCTCAAAATCTACCTGACATAAGAAAGCCACATTGCCCAAAAGCTTGTATTTTGCATGTATATATGCACCAAAGAGACCATGTTCGAGTCTCCCTAGAACCAAGGAAAGAAAATCCAAAACAATAAATAATGATTCAAACAATAAGATTTCACATCAAAATTTAAAGCAGACTAACGTTGGGAAAACCAGATTCAGGAGGAACTAATCCGAAGCCCAAATTGTTCAAGTAAAATGTGATCATCCCAACCGACCAGTTCACTTCAACAGTACAATAGCACTCAGAGGACAGTGTAAGTTAAGCAACCCAAGTGAATTAATTCAAACATACAGTATCAAAAATTATTAAAAGCCCTTTTTTCTAACACCTGAGCATGCATAATAACCAGACAATGAAATTGCAGTAAATACCAAGAGAAACCAATATGAGCAAGAATTTGAAAACCAATTTGGGAAAACACCCAAAAACCTCAGAATGTAAACAAATTATTATTCGGTTCCAAGTTAAGTTCTCAACTTTACAAAGCAACAGCAATAGTTCCAAAAAATATATATATAAACCAGAAAGTGTTTTATAACCAAAACCCTAAAGACAGAAGAAAAGGGATCAAACTCAAACCTGAACGTCCCCAAGTAGAAGCCCCATAATTTCTTCAGTCTCAGAGGAGAATGAATGAGTGAAACACGTTAACCACACATCCTCCGACATTTTCACGCTCGTTAGAGACATCCTCGTATCACAAACTCCCACGGTTCCCACGGTTCTCTCTCTCTCGAAAAATCTCTCTATAGAACTGGGATATAACTTTGAACTTGGAAGATGAACACAAACCCAGAGCGAGCGAGAGAGGCACAGCGAGAACTGGAATCAGTGACTCAGCACAATGAGCGGGCCCTGGTTGGCCACAACTAGGGCCACGGGTTTTTCATCGGGTCTTGTCAATGGATTGTGCAATGGGCCTCTCAGAGACGAGATAATGGGCCCCGTCTGCCAAACATTGAGACTAAAATGGAGGAGATCATAATTAAGATATTTTTGTCATTAAAAAATTAAAAAATAATTACATAATGGCACACAATTCATATGTTGTAAACACGTGTACTTCAAAGTTTTACAAGTCCGGTTCTTAAAGACTTAATAGATTGGAGGATTATACTCATCAACAATTTTCCCACTTAACACCCTGTTGGGGTTGTGTATTTATAAAAGATAAATTATTATAATATTTTTAAAAGAGTGTTTAAACATAAAGATATTCTCTCTATTTTTTGAAATTTTACAACATAATCCCTATGATTCATACACCTGTTTTCAAATATAACCATTTGTCATCTCGTATCAAACTATAAATGACGATACCAAAAATTATCCAATGTTAAGCTCAATCCATGAACAATTCGAAGACATGCTCCCAATAGGGGCCTGCATGATGATGTCAAAATATGGGTTTTAGTACAAGACAACTAAGATTAGGTGAATGGGCTGACCTCTCAATCCCTATCTGCGTAGCTCATGACCCTAACTTAGACTTCCCAGCTAATGATTTCTAGCTCAAGAACTGCAGATGGGGAATCAACACCAATGTGACTTCGTGCATACTATAACAGCAACAACTCACATTTTTTAGAAGGTCACGACACACTTAGGATATGTAGCATCCAACAACCAAATATTCCATCACATGGGGTCATAACAACATGGAAGAATTCACACTGATTACTCAAGGACCATGCTCCTACACACTATAAATAGGGATCAATCCCTCACATTGTAAAGAAAAAAAAATGTGAATTGACTCTCATGAGCATTGTAATCATCTTCTCCAAGCAATAAAAAACTCTCCTATGAATAAGAGACTCTATTAAAATGGACTAACCAAGCTTTCAAGTTGGTGAACCACTATAAATCTCATGTCTATTAATTTCCATTATGTGTGATTATTGTTGTGGGTATTGTTTTACCATCAAGAGTCTAGTAGCTTTGGTTAGGTATTCTAGTAAACCTCATTAACGTCTTTTACAAATCTCTAATCTATTTCCCCCTTTTTTAGCCTCGAGTTTAGCTACTCAACCGCATAAATTACACCATCAGTTTGGCCCCATCTGTGAAAAATAATTTTTTTGATTCCTGCTAAAATTCTACTGATCTTGTAATAATTAATGGGTCTTTACGCGCAACATGAGCAAACAAGGAAATCTACTACGTTTGTAGAACCGGCCAAAAGCCAATGCCATGGGCAGCAAAGAATTCTAGCAAACACTCTGCTAGACCCAGAAGAAAATCTATCAATGGCAGATACCCCTCCAAACAACGAACTCGAAGTGCTGCGTCAAACCAATGAGCACCTCTTCAAGAAAATTGAGGATCTAGTAACTTTTATCTATGCTCAGAATCTCCAGAGGGCATAACCAGCCCAAAATGATCCCTAGCATAGGGAACATCAACGTCAGAATCCCTTGAAGGAGATTACGAAAGAGAATGGTCTCAGTCACTTTATTGATAATGTGCATCGCAAAGCCCTGAGAAATGGGAAAAAAGATGAGGTCTAGAGTTAAATCAGGGAAGTCTACAGAAACGAGCTCATCTCAGCTCCCCCTCAACAAAATAGGAGGGATCAATTCTGGAAGCGGCATTTTAGGGAGATCAAGTAAAAGCTAAGCCACATGAAGGAGGCGGGACGTCTGTATATAGAGTTCGACAGAAATTCTACGGAGAAATAAGGACCGGGTTTTCAATGGGCCTAAGATTCCTATATTCAACCCAGAACAAACATTCTACAGTCAATTAATAATAAGTCAGTCCACTAAAAATTTATTATTGATCTCCTGAGCTTTATCTCAAAATTATATTCATGCTCCTTATTATTATGTGCTTAATAATTTTCCCACATTTAAGATTACAGATATCCATCAATTAAATAAATTACTGACAATTATATTTAATTAACTTCTTTTATTCTTTGAAGTCTTACCACTTAATTTATTTGTTATGTCGGATAATTAAATCCACCTGTAGGGTTTAATATGGACAAAATTTATGAGCTTCCTCCAGAGGACATCATCAACCTATTTAAATACTAGGATGTGATTTTCTTTAATAATTAATTTTTATCATACAAATAACATCAACTCCCAATGCAGTAAGCTTATTGACTCAATATGAATCTCACTCATTAATAAATTAAAGTGACAAACATTATATGCACGTGACAATTAAATATTTTAGGATTAAAAGCATAAACAATTATAAAAATCATTAGATATTTATTATCTTATTGAATCAGTAAAAGATAATACCCTAAATATGAGTTTGTTCAATTTACAAAGTGTACTAATGCAATAATCCGAGACATCAAACAATCTCTTACAATTAAGACAGACTATACTAGAATATTACACTACAATCATACTGATAGTGTATTCAATTCCATCTAGAATTGTGATCCTATACTCATATTATACAAAAATTTAATAATCTGGTCTTCTGTGCATAAGTCGAACTCTACACACCAAATTATCTACAATGTAAAATATAAGACACAACTGCATAACATATATTAAATATAATGTAGATATTTTGCCCATATAGATTCTCAATAAACTAGAAAGAACAAACTTCTATTAATTAATAAAATGAGTGTCATTACAAAAAATAAGGTTTTAGTATACTAATCTATCAAGTTTTACCTCTACGCTTCAGAAATCTATAAACGAAGAGGTCTCCAAGCTCCTCCATGCTAAATCCATAAGGGAAGTGGATTACCCAACCAAGTTGGCAAACGTGGTTATAGTGAAGAAGACCAATGGCAAGTGGCAGCTATACATTGATTTCAGTGACCTAAAGCGGGTTTGCCCTAAAGACAGATTCTCACTTCCAAGGATCAACCTAATCGTAGATGCTACAGTTAGACACGAGTTGCTCAACTTCATGGGCGTCTTCTCTGGATATAACCATATCAAGATGAGCCTCAGTGACCAAGAGAACACACAATTTATGACTGAGCAGGGAATATAATACTATTAGGTCATGCCTTTCGGGCTCAAGAACGTAGGGGCCACCTATCAACGATTTTCGTAAATCATATGTTCCAAGAATAGATCGGGTCATCTATGAAGGTCTATATTGATGATATGTTGGTGAAATCATTGAAGGGCGAACTTCATATCCAACATCTCAAGGAATCCTTTCAAATACTCAAAAAGTATAAGATGAAGCTCAACCCCTCAAAGTTTGCCTTAAGGGTCTTTGTAGGAAAATTCCTTGGCTTCATAGTTAATAGCCATGGAATTGAGGCCAATCTTGAGAAAGTCCAAGCAATAATCGACATGTAGTCACCCACAAACATAAGTGAAGTTCAACGTTTGACATGAAAAATAGTTGCGTTGAACCGCTTCGTCTCCAGATCGAGAGACAAATGTTAGCCATTCTTTAAGGTACTACAAGCAACTTTTCATTGGGACGAACAATGTGAAGAGGCATTAAAAGATCTTAAGGGTTACCGTAGCTCACCCCTAGTTTTGGTTAGCCCTCTAGAAGGGGAAGTCCTTACCTTGTACCTTGTTGTGTCAAATTTTTCCACAAGTGCAGCTCTGGTAAGAAAATAGTAAAGAGCTTAGCAACCCATCTAGTACTGTAGTAGAGCTTTAAGGGGAACAGATGAGAGGTACCCAAAGATGGAGAAGTTGGTTCTAGGCTTGGTGATAGCAACAAGAAGGCTCATGTCTTATTTCTAAGCCCATACGATAGAAATCCCAACTAATCAACCAATGAAGAAGGTCTTACACAAACCAAATTCGTTGGAAAGACTAGTGAAATGGGCAATCAAGCTCAACAAGTTTGACATCAAGTTCAATCCTAGAACTGCCATTAAGGGGCAGGTTTTAGCCTATTTTATCGCAAAGTTTACCACGCTAGCGGGTCAGGAGGTTTCTAAGGAATCAAATAACCTTATCCCTAACTTGTTGACATGGAATTCTTGGTTGATAGGGCATCCAACACACAGGGTAGCAAAGCTGGCTTGATCCTAACCTCGCCAGATGGAATAGACCTGAAGTATGCTCTTATGTTTGATTTTAAGGCTTTAAACAACAAAGCGGACTATGAGACAATGATTGTCGAACTCAGGTTAGCTCATTTTATGGAATTTGAGTAATTTATATTACACATGGATTCACAACTGGTGGTAAGGCAGATAGAGGAGGCATTTGAAGCCAAAGGGGAGAGATTGACACTATGTTTGAAAGAGGTGCAAAAGCTGTTAAAAATTTTGTTTAGGCGAAGATCGTGCAAATCCCCAAAGTAGAGAATTTTCGAGCAGACGCTTTAGCCAGACTAGCTATCACTTCTCAAGAGAGACTAAACAGATTCATCCTAGTTGATTACTTGCCTGAGCCTACAGTGAGCTTTGAACCAGAAGAGGTTTTTCTCGTGAGTATTCAGCCAACCTCGATGGACCCAATCCTGCCTTACATACAAAATGGAGCTCTACTTGCAGATTCCAAAGAAGTAGCGAAGCAAAGGATTAGGTCATCCAAATTCACCCTTATCCAAGGAAGCTATACAAGAGATGGTTCTCTTCACCTCTCCTAAAATGCGTAGGAGAAGATGAAGCAAACTACATCCCGAGGGAGATCCACGAGGGAATTTGTGAAAACTACATTGGAGCTTGGACCATAGCCCATAAGGCACTAAGACAGGGGTATTTTTGACCTACAATTGTCAATGATGCAAAGGAGCTGGTTAAAAATGCAAGGTTTGTCAACTCAATGCAAACATCCCGCACTATCCGCCAAAGCTCCTCACCTGGATGATAAGCCCTTGACTTTTTCAATAGTGGGGGCTGGATATACTTGGACCTTTTTCAGTCAGCACGGGGCAATACA